GGCAGGCAGGCCCTTTACTGAGATACAGTGATTAACTGCTGATTAGAGCTACACATCAACGGTATTTAAAATGGAATTTTAAGTTAGTTAGTTAGTTTAAATTTAAATTTAAGTTTAAGTTTATGCTTGTCTAAGGATTGATTAGATCACCTAAAGCTGCGAACTCTAACAAATACTAAAAGTTTACAGCTACTATAAACACTCCTTCAGGTGTTCAACTTTTGAAGTTTAAATCACTTGGCATGCATGGATGGATGGATAGATAGATGAATGCTTAATGCTTATGCTTATGTATTATATTTGTTAGAGATGTTGAAATTTAACGAACAGCAGCAGCACATTAGCAGTAGTAACGATGATCACAAAACAATTCAGCACCACCACTATATGAGACGGGATGGGATGATAAATGCCGAATTTATTACTCGAATGGCAGCGGCGCTAGTCACATGAAAGAAAACGAACGAAGCACCGCAAATGGATTCGTCGTCGTCATTTAAGAGTTGCCGCTAATCGTGGCAGATATTCTATGGATATAAATGCTACTGCTCGGCTTAGGATTAGGCTTAGGATTAGGATTTTAGTGTTTGAACAGAAATTTATGTGTGTATGTTGTTATGTTTTTAAGTTGCTGATCTTACTTTGTTGTGATTGCTGACAGCTTGTTGAAATGTTTAAATATGTTTAGATTGTTGTCGTTAGTTTAGTAGTAATAGTTAGTTGCTTGTGGTGTAGTAACATTTCAATAGTTATAATAAAGAAAAACAACGACCAGATAAGACGAGTGAGCGAGTGATTTTTACTGAATGACACTTTTCAATCTTAATTAATTAGGGAAGATTTACTTGCTTGTTTGTTTGCTTAGTTGCATTTATTAAGAGATTTGCATTAGCATTAGCATTTACGACTTCTTATAGCAAAAGTTGTGTTTGTGTGTGTGTTTGTGTGTTCACAATTGATTATGATCAATATTGATCATTAGCTGATCGTGAATCTGATCACATTATGTGATCATTGAATAGTTGATGATAGAAATGATACGAAAACACTGATTAATTATTGAACAAATCCATAGATAGATAGATAGATAGATTAATAGATATGATATGATCGTATTAAGTAGATAAATGAATATGGATGGATGGATGGATGCAGAAACGCATAAATCATTTCAAATTTAAGCACAAACCAAGCAGCCAGCCGGGCAGGCATCAAGCAGGCAAGGAGCTAATTTTAAGATATCATCTAAACACCGAAACGAGGAGTAGCTTTTTAAGATTAGAGGTGAAATGAGATAGATAGATACTTGGTTGGTTGGTTGGTTGGATGGATGGATGGATGGTCGGATGTATGGATGGATGGATGGATGGATGGATGGATGGATGTTTGGATGAATGGGCCAGGAAACATCTTAAAATGTGATTATTGCCATAGAACACTGACAATATATTGTGGTCGTCTTTATTTGGACACTTGCTCATGATGTGCTTGTTTGTTATTGTGGTATGCATAGCAGAGCGCTTGTTGACAACTTACATGCATGCTTGCGATAGATCTCTTGAGCAATTACTTAGTTTTTACATGCTCATTTAATATTTATCATTCGAGAATATGTTTGATAGATTTATATTCATTTATTATTATTATGATTATTATTATTATTATTATGTATTTATGTGAATTTATTTATCTATTTATTTAGTTATTTATTTATTTATGCATTTATTTATTTATACATTGTATTATTATGTAAAAGTTTATGGATAAGAGGATAGATATGGGATGGACAAGAGCGAGTAGTTGTGTGTGCCTATTGTGTGGTGTTTATTTCCTGGTTGATCTCGGCTGCTCCTTATTTTATAAGAAGTTTCATTGAATGTTGAACATGGACTGGTTTTGTATTGGTTGTGCTGCTGCTTGATGATTTTATCATATTATCTGGATTACTATTCGTGATGCTGCTTAGTTAGTAATTGCTTAATAACTGCTTAATTAGTAATTAATTAGTAAATGAATAAGTGCTATTGCTGCTGCTACCTGCCCTGCTCTGTTCTGAAAGTGTTCTAGTTGGCTTGGCATGAAGTGATTAGTTTCATTCCAAAAAGTGAAGATTCAGTGATTTTAATGATTGTTCATTCGGTGGTGTTGTTGTTGATTAGGTGATTTACTAGACATTAGATCAGATCAGATCAGATCAGATCGGATATTGAGTAAGTAGTAAGAGACTGGATGGGTGCTGCTGCTGCTGCTGCTGCTGCTGGATTGAGGAGCTTCGAATGAACACTCGATTCGAATGAACGTTTAGTGGACATGAATATGATGTGATTGAAGAAGATAAATGGAATAAGAAGTGAGTAGTAAGTAAGTAATAGGAGTAAGTAAGTAAGTAATAGGAGTAAGTTGTTGCTAGAGTAGTGCTTTGTTTGTGATTTGATTATATGCCTGATGCTGTCACATTCGGTTTATTTGATTGGATTGTGACGTACGTGTGAATGAAACACAAGGAAGGAACAGTAGAGGGCGTGAAATTTGTTTGTGAATAGTGAAGTGAGTGATTTTCGATGAGTAGTTGATGGAGGAATATATTTTGATATGACATTTTGAGGATTTGGGGATTTCGTATGATTTGGGGATTTCGTATGATTTGGGGATTTAATGTAAGTAATGTAAGTAGTGAGTTCACGTTCGTTGTAATTAGTAGTAAGTAATGTAAGTAGTAAATTCACAGTCACGTTGACATTGCTACTGCTACTGCCGCTGCCGCAGCTACTGCATTCATCATCCGTAGATGAGTAATATCTATCTCGAATTTATAATCGTCACCGCGTTATGTTGATGATGCAAATGATACGAAATTTATAACTGTGAATAAATTATTTATTAAAAAAATACATTCATGCATCAATGAATAAATACACATATATTTATACATGTAAATGTAATATCGGTTATTACACATTTATTTACATATTATTATTATTATTATTATTATTATTATTATTATTATTATTATTATTATTCATTATTATGCATGCGCATTGATAATTCAGATATTGTGTCTGCGGTTAGATGCTTAAATTATGCGTGCGTAAAGGAAAATGAAACGAATGAAGTCTTTTGGCAAGCAAAAAATATCAGCAGCAGCATTCACAAATGACAACACGCAATTTATGAATAAGCAACCAAGTGTGAACCACCTAGGCTTATTAGGCTTAATTCGAAATTTTAAAGAAGTGTGAATGATCCGGATTTAGTCTCAGTCTCAGAATTGCATGTGCTACGCTTAGCTATAATACTTAGTACATTCATATGATCGTTCAGCAGCTCTATTCTGTACTCTGTACTAGTCGCTTCTGTACTACTGTACTACTTGGTACTGTATTCTGTACTACTTGCTTCTGTACTACTGTACTACTTCGTACTGTATTCTGTAGTTGTTGTGTCTATGAGCTTGAAGGTGTTTGAAGGTGTGAAGGTGCTTATTGTTAGTACTAACTACTCCACAACGTACACAACAATACACAGATGAGCGAGCGAACAGACGACGACTCTAGTGCTTAAGACTGAAATTAGAACTGAAACTTGGAAGAGCCTGAAGTTGAAGCAACTGGATTACTAATAAATTACTGCTGACCTATACGGTGTTAAATGTGATTGAATACTGCAGACAGGCAGGCAGGCATTTAAGTGATGATTACTTAAATGAAATAGGTGATTAGCTGCTGCTGCTGCTGCTAATGCTCTTGCATGGTATAATTATCTAGAGAGGACTGAAAATGATTTCGTTATTAAATGCTCTAATTAAATGTTAATAGAACGACGAACACGCACGGATATATGATAACAACTAATGAATACTATAAAAGCATGTAAGTAGCAACCAAGTAAGCAGCAGCAGCAGCAGCAGCACTAGCTAATAACATTCTATCAGCAGCACTAGCTTTCTTAGTCTTATCCGACGGAGAGTGTTTATGTTTATTATCACACTCTGCGATTAGCGGAATATTTTATGCTTGTTATTTTATTTATTCACTTGGTTAGCGGCTAGGCTCGGCTTGGCTTGGCTTGGCTTGACAGCTCAGCTCAGATTCTCACATCAGTTGTTTCCAATTGTTTTGCTTGAAAATCTTGCTCAGCTGACGAGTTCTTGGTCGTGGTCAGTAGAAATGTTTCGCGCTGGCCGCTTCTCTATCAAATGCTGGTTCTTAAGCTTTCCGCTCGCTCTCTATCAACTGATATAAACTGATGTGTGTGTGTGATACTAAATCCAGGAAGGATTTCTTTGACAGACGGATGATGATGCACTAGGATTAGTATGTATGTATGTATGTATTTGTATATTAATGATATCCGTTAAGATTAATATCGGTTAAGATATCGGTTAGGATATCGGTTAAGATATCCGTTAAGATATAGGTTAAGATATCGATTAAGATATCGGTTAAGATATCGGTTAAGATATCGGTTAAGATATAGGTTAATATCGGTTAAGATATCGGTTAAGATATAGGTTAATATCGGTTAAGATATCGGTTAAGCCTGCTGCTACCTATAATATGCAAACCTACCGGATGAATGAAAGGTATAGTGCTGCTGCTGCTGCTGGTGGCATAAACACGATCTGGGGCATGCAAGAAGTTGGGGTGGTGGTAGATGTATGGATGGATGGTGGTGTTTACTTACTGGAATGAACTGGAATCGGCGGTTAGAGTGCTGCCACATGTATGATGTTGTCTCAATAAAGTTATCGCGTGTGAAGAACACTGTTGCGTGTGAATTTATTCAATGCACCTAAATATTTGCGTGTTTGATTATAGTTTTGAAAACAACTAAGACACCTCAGAATGTCTAGTAGTACAATAGAATAAGAAGAATTTTTTTTTTTGTTGAGAAAGCGCTGCAAGCAAGCGAATTCATCAAATTCATTCATTATTTTCAAATGATGCCATAGTAATTTTTAAGTGTAAGCCACGAGTACTAGTTAGTTAGTCAGCAACTGGCTAGGCGGCCGGAAAGTTGAGGTGAAGTCGGACCAGAAGCCTCAGGCCAGCCTCAAGATTGAGAGTCTGAAAGTGGAGTTGAAGCTTGAATTGTTTGAGATGCAATGACTAGGAAGGAACTAGGACGACTTCAACGACTGAACTTGAACTTGAGCTTAGGCTTAGATGAACAATTGAAAAGTGAATGTGGACGACTGATGTGAGAAGTTTTTAGTTGATGGCTGATGATGTGCTTTTCATTTTTATTTTCAGATGTAGATAGGTGATATTTTTTGATCAATTTTTTGATATTTGTTTGATTTGATATTTGATCAATTTGATCAATTTGACAATTGATCAATTGATATCAGATATTATTTGATCAAATGTAGATGATTTGATTATTTGATCAGTGAGAAATATTAAATTCATTTGGCTCGTTCGAAAAAACTCTGTGAACAATTAATTCACATTACATATGGATGTTAGCAGCTAGCCAGCCGGTCATGTTTATTGCTAAAGTGTGTAATACACATTTGAATTTACATAAATAAATTAAATTAGCTATTCAGCAACTCTATAAATTGCATTGCTTTTTGTGATGATCAACAAAATAAGTCGTTCGAGTCGTTTAAGATAATGCAGCAAGTTTTTTGTTTTTGTTTTAACAACTAGAAATTAGTATTTTATGCAGCAGCATACAATATCCCTATCCTTATCCGTATCCCTATCCTTATCCCTATCCATATCCATATCCATATCCATATCCATATCCATATCCATATCCCTATCCCTATCCCTATCCCTATCCATATCCCTATCCCTATCCATATCCCTATCCTTATCCCTATCCATATCCATATCCCTATCCCTATCCCTATTGTCCCGGCTTATCCATTCGTAGTTACTGTACGACGAATTCACTGAGCAATAAGCATATCAGATCACATGCAATTATGTTTCTTTATCTTTATCTTTATCTTTTGAATAATTAATGAACGATGTGCTTGTGCGTGTGATTGTTGCTTGGTTGGTGCCATTTTAAGATAAGTGATGAGATATTTGATGGGTCGGGTATGCATGATGGGTAGTTTGGGATGGTTATAATCTAGATGGATTGCTCTGAGTTGCTGCTGATCTTCAGATCTGGTGGTATTTCTTTTAGGATTATAATCGGCGGTTTAAATTTATTTTACGCTCAAGATTCCGGCTCTAAAGTTGGCGACTTGAAAGACTTGTAGGCAGGCAGTAGCAGTAGTCCGAGAAGCTCGTATTTCAACGCGATTGGCCCATCCGACACGCCGTTTAAATTGGCCTCTAGTTTAGTCAAGGCAGCAGCAGCAGCAGCAGTAGGTAGGGCTGCTGCTGCTGCTGCTGCTGGCTCTTCTTGGAGCTTAGCTTACATGTTCTCTGTGAGTAATTTGAGTAGTGATCTGTAGCAAGTGTATTGAGATCAGATCGTATGACGAAATGAAATACTAGTTTGATCGTGTCATTATTGTAAGGCTTAGGCTTAGGCTCAGCAGACAGGCTTACAATGGATTGAGATTTGCTGCAAGAAGTTGCTTGTAGGAGGTTGCCTTGGAGATAGATGTGCTTGCTTGTACGCTTTAAGTTATTTTACTTATTAAACAATCAATATCAGTGTCAATGCCAATATCACTACTTGATCATATCGGATCAGATCAGATCAGATCACAGTATGATCAGTTGCTAAACAACTATTTTATCTAATCATTACACTTCACTGATTATTCATTCATAGTAGCTTGCGTTATTGTCTAAGTGATCAAGATTGTGATCAAGAGTGATCAAGAGCGATTTTCTAAGTGAACTGATCACTGATCAACGCCCACGTTTCATTTCATTAGCAATTTGTTTCAATTACCGACTTGATCCATCCATCCATCTATAATATGCTATGTATCTAATCATCAATTTATAGCACCTGAATATAGCATGTGTTAGTATTTTATCGGATGAGATTTATTCTCGGTTAGTGCAAATGAAATCAAATCAACGAAATTATATCCGTTGCTTGTTTCATTTTGCGATAAATTGAAATGAATTGAAACTTTGGAATTAATTGAATTCAAATGCACGGAAAGCAGCACACAGCTAACTAGTTTATTGAAGAACACAAGCAATGGTCATCTCATTTAAATTATTTTATTAAATTCTACAAATTTTTTCTGCTTTCAAGTCGATGAAAATAGTGGTTGGTGACTTGGTTAGTTAGGAGGAGTCTTGTTCTTGTTTCAGCTCTAAATCGAGACGGCCGATCAGCTCTGATCTCTTCATCTATCCGATTTTCGATTCTGAACTGATTGTCGATGATCGCTGATGTCTAATCCTTATAATTGACTGATTGTTTGATTGATTGATTGATTGATCGATTGATATTTTAGAAATGAAAAACAGTCAAAAGCAAAGGATGAATTGCGTGTAAATGAATTAATGCTACTTGTTAATAATTCAAAAAAGGAACTACTGCCAACTACTCTCACTAAGTTAACTGTTAAAAGCCGATTTGAGTGGTCGATAGATAGCAGCCAGCTTAAGGTAGTAATATAGACGACGACAGTGGCAACCAAAAAAAAACTGGTGAATGTGTCGTTGCATTAGGCTTAAGAGTATCTAAGATGTCATTTGCTCTAATTGATCCCATCTGATTCTTGGAACGAGAGCTGACTGATTAACAACTAGCTGCACTTCTCATTAACATGACTGAACTGAACCGGCCGCAGCAGCAGCAGTAGTTAAATGATGAAGTTAACATCCACTTTCTCTACTCACTTAACTGCAAAACGAAATCGATTTAGTTGAATGGGCAATTAACTGAATTTACTGAACTGAAGCTCTTAACACAACTAAATAAGTAAGTAAGTAAGTAACTAAGTAAGTAAGTAAGCAACAGCGACGTTTGAAAGTGCAGCCATTAAACGAAAAAAACGTGTATTTTTGTAGAAATATGGAAATTTATCGAATGAAATAGAAATGAAATGGAATAATTTTATGTATAATACTAATGTACTGAAGAGAAATAATTTTCTGAGAAGGCAGGCATCATTAATCAGAGAGAGTAGTGTTATGTGTTAAAATTTGAATTCGCTTAATCTAGATTGAATGTGCTATTCTTAATGTAAACTTGCTTAATCTATATATTTAGTTATGTGAACTTAATCTTAATCTATTCACTTGCTTAATCCATCTTAATCTCTTTTGAGCTGCTTAATCTTAATTTATTTTGTGCTGCTGCTGCTGTATGACTTGAAGTATATTTATGAGGTGTGGTGATACCGAACACGAACACACATTTTATTTAGTGATTGATTAATTTTGAATTCGCTTCAATTCATCAATTTTACTTCTGTTTGCTTCAGTTGTTCTTCTTGGTGTGCTATTATTTTCACATGATAAAAATTATATGTCACATCTATTATCTATGGTTTTTGCTTGCTTGTTGCATTCAGCAGGCAATTGAAAACTAATACATGCCTGAAAAAATGTTGAATGAGTGGATGTTCATATGCATATGCTGAATTTTTTTTTTTGAATTTTCTCTTGTTGTGAATCTTAAGAAGTGATTTTTATCGAGTATCAGTATCAGTATCAGTAGCAGTATCAGTATCAGTATCAGTAGCAGTATCAGTATCAGTATCAGTATCAGTAGCAGTAGCAGTATCAGTATCAGTAGCAGCATCAGTAGCAGTTTTAACAGCAGTAGAAACGAAAGCAACATCTGTTTTGAAATGGTTTATGTAGTTGAGAAATATTATTAATACTATGATGATTATTGTTGTATGTATGTACAGATGTTGAAGATTAATAGCTTTGTGCTCATAGGAAATATTATAGTGGATAAATAACTGGGCGATTTCATAAATCCATTAGTTGTAGATTTGATGATGTGTACAGCAGGCAGTAGGGTGAACTTTAAAGTTTTAAGTTAAAGCAGCACGCTTTAAGCACTAATCAATCCCATTTCATTGGTTTGTTGGCTTAGGCTTGGCTTGTTCGTTGGTTGGTTGGTTTGATTGATAGATAAATCGCCTGACCGCAAGTATCTTTAATTTACAATTAATTATGATGCTCTATGCTAAAATAGGGGATAGTAGTAGTAGAAGCAGCAGTAGCTGTATCATCTGAACGTTTCTTTTGTTTGTTTGTTTTTTTTGGTTTTTCTTTGAAGTGATTTGATAGTAAATGACGAGTGATCATGCGAGTGATCGATCATACCATCGAATAATCATGCGAAGTGATTGATCTTATTAGCTGATAGTTGATCACTGACTAATCACTGATTTTTAGTCGATCTTCAAACAACAGCAGGCGTATNTGTTTTTTTTTGGTTTTTGTTTGAAGTGATATGATAATAAATAACGAGTGATCATGCGAGTGATCGATCATACCATCGAATAATCATGCGAAGTGATTGATCTTATTAGCTGATAGTTGATCACTGACTAATCACTGATTTTTAGTCGATCTTCAAACAACAGCAGGCGTATGCAATCGTGATTATACTGTGTTTTAGCATAGGTATTAGATATTGGGCAGGTATGCTGTTCCATGCATGTTTTTTGCAGCAGCAACAGCAGCAATAGCAGCATAATGTTACGAAGTGAGCGTTCAGTGGACGTTTTGGATCAAGAGAGGGCATGCTCAACGGTTGTTCTGACNTGCACGATGAACAGCATTTAGCTATGATAGAAGAGATGAATGATGAATCGAGATAGACAGAAGAAATCAGCTTAAGATGGTTGAATGAATTATGTTGATGATGGTGGTTTGGTGATTTTTAGTGGTGGTGGTGATTACAGGGATTTGCGTGATACTGATATGGACTCGTATAGTGATCCGTTTTGCGTGGTTAGTGGCACGAGTGCTGGAATGGCTAGATCACGAGTTTGGAGCGAAATTGGACGAACTGAGGTGAGTAGCTTACTGAGCTGCAGTTCAAAGCAGCGGCAGCGTTAGCGGGATGGGCGGGACCAAGCAGATTCAATACGTGATAGATAGTAACAGCATGTACAGTATGGTATGGTAAACTACGGTTTCGTCGTTAAATATGGCAAAATGGTATGGTAATGGTGGTAAAATGCTATGGTAAAATATGGTTTAAAATATGGTAAAATATGGTTTAAAAAAACCACACACACACACACACAAAGACATTCGATGGTTCAATTGAAAGCACACCAGAACGGCGTTATTCAAACAAATAACAACTATTAAATGAACTGGATGGAAGGCAGGCAGCAGCATTTCATTGGTCATTGCTGTGCTGCTGCTGCTTGAATACTACAGTATACTCGCTCGACTCGTCATCAATCAGAAGAGTGTGCTGCGGCTGCCTTGTTTACAGACAGACGGACAGCTCTCTAAGCCCGCTAGGCTGGCTCTCTCTATTCGCCCAGGGCGGATGGATAAGCCGATGCGTGCGTGCCGGTTTAGGATTCCTTAACCTCTAACCTTTGACCCCTAACCTCCCACCTCCTCCCTTGCTGCTGCTGCTGTTTGTCGTTGAGGAAAACAAATCTTGAATCTCTTAAATTGCGTCTTTGCTTCTTACCAAATGTGGAAACATATCAGTTTTATTTGATGAATAAATTGCGCTAATTAAATTTGTTTAATTCGTTCCAATATCTTTAACGAGCAGCATATATTATACCAGCAACATGAGCAGGCAGCAGTTTACAGGTAATCAACAACTGCCTTAATCCAGATTGGGCCACCAAGATTCATGCCACCTATTATTTTGAAGAACAACAACGATTACTCTTTGAAGTGTTAGTGTATTATTGTAATTTAAAGTGATATTGATTATTTTAATTGATCAGTTATGATCAGTCATGATCAGTTGTGATCAGTTACGACTTATTTGCAGATTTGACAAAGGGCCTGGTAAGGAAAGAACCAAAATTGGCTCGGCTACATTATTATTACACGAAATTATTGGTGCGAATTATAATCGAAGAACCGTTAAACTTTAGTGAGCACTGTTCTTATATATTGCCATCTTATATATTCATTGAATTTGTGATAGATAGGTAAACTTACACTTAAAACAGAAAATAAAGCAGAGATAATGCGTGAACGTTGCATAGTGTTTGATCTGATCTGATCTGATCTGATCTGATCGATTGTTGTTGTTATTACAGTGATGAAGGAAAACACTATGGTAATTTGACGGTAACAGCCGAGGAGATGAGTGACGGGCGGCAAGAGTCAGTGTATTTTATATGTAGTGCGACGAAACTGGATCGAAAAGATTTCCTGGGCAAATGCGATCCCTTTTTGAAGATATCTCGGATCAACGAAGACAATACGTAAGCATGTGCGCTACTAATCACAAATCTGATCCTCCTTATCCATCTCTAGCCGATATCGTTTATGAATGTCCATTGCAGATATCAACTCGCTTATCGCACTCGATACCACGAGCAAAATTTGAACCCGAAATGGAAACCTTTCGAAATACATATCAATCAACTGTGCTATGGTGATAAAGATAGGTGAGTGCGTTCGCGTTGCGCGCATAGTGTTTGATCTGAGTGTTAATGTGATCGATTCGATCGATCTGATCTGATCTGCTCTGATCGATCTAAGTACTCTCATTATAATATGACTTGAAATTAACGTTATTCATTTAGTATTTTCATTAAGATATAACAAAAATTTTCAGGGAATTTCTAATCGAATGCTATGACTGGGATCAAGACGGAAAGTGAGTATAGTGTGTCTATAGACAGACGACTAATTTTTTGAACCTTTCGGTTTATATCCAGCTATCCGGTTTATATCCGGTTTATCCATTTATATCCATTTCGGTTTATATCCAGCTATTAGTCTATTTTGCTGCTTTGCTACCAATTGACGGTGAGTTTGGTGAGTATATGCGATGCGATGCAATAATAATCATTTCAGTCATGATCTGGTGGGTTGTTGTCGAACGACGGTGAATCGCTTGGTGAATAAAGTGGACGTTACATTACCGGTAAGTTAAGTGGACTTGGCAAGTTAAGACTGACTTTGACTTGACTGGCTTACTAGTCACTTACTTACTGGCTTGAATGCTAAACCTTGAAATTCTAGTGATCTGATCTGATCGATTTAAGTACTCATTATAGTTGATACACGAGAAGAAAGCGAAAAAAAGTAAAAAGTATGTGGACTCTGGACAATTACATTTTCATAAGGTTTATTGTTGGATGGACTATTCGTTTCTGGATTTCATCTCAGCTGGGTACGTGCCTTATTATTATTATTATTATTATTATTATTAGTATTATTATTATTATTATTATTATTGTTTTATGTTAATTTTTACAGCGGCCGATCGTGCCTACTGCCGCCGTGCTGTTGACAGTAAATCCAAATACTCTGATCAGCGGGTATTTTTCAGAACTGAACTGGAGTTTACGGTAGCGATTGATTTTACGAAATCGAATCTGCCTACTGAAGACACGTCGTCGTTGCATCATGTGGACGATGATTTCGCGAATCAATACGAGATTGCCATACGTTCTATTGCTGAGATTTGTCAGTACTATAACACAAGTCAGGTGTTTCATGGCTATGGCTTTGGGGCACGTCTGCCGGGTGATAATCTTGTACACTACAATTTTCCATTGGTTTGTTTTATTGTTGGTGGTTATTTATTCGTTTGAAATTACTATTAAAGTTTGTTATAATGATAGCGCAATGGCGAATATAATGTGAAGAGAGGCGAACTGATGTTGGGTGAAGAAGAAAGGCATAGAACCATAAATGAAGATGCAAAGAATCTAAGGAATTAGAATAGAAAAATGAGATTAGTAATTGATTGATCGATTGATTGATTTGTTGATGGATCGATTGACTGATTTGTTGATGGATGGATCGATTGATTGATTTTTTGATGATCAAACGAAGAAGCCAATTCAGAATACGATAACCAATAATCCGGATTGTGTGGGCATTGATGGACTACACGAAGCGTATATGGCTGCGTTGAATACCGTACAACTGGCCGGTCCCACGGATTTCTCACCAACCATTCGTTTTGCAGCCAGACAAGCGGCCGCTCTGCCCGACGACGGTAGCAAATACAGTGTGTTGTTGATCATCACTGATGGTGTGATCAGTGATATGAGTAAGACAAAAGAGGAGATTGTTAAGGTGATTAATTAATTAAAGCTAATGTGATGATGATGATGATGCTCATGCTGATGTTTAGGCTGAGGCTAGAAGTTTTAAGTGGCTATTTTTTTGGATGGCAGCAATTCAGAACGAGATCGGCTCGTCTCGTCTCGGCTCGGACGGATTCATTTTCTTATATCTTCAATTTCTTATCGCTGTAGCGAAAAGTCATCTTGAAGTTATTCGTCGTCGTCGTCGTCGTCGTTAATTTAATTAATTAGCAATCAATCAATCAAAATTGTTTGCTACTGTGCATTAAAAAATTGTAAAAATTAGAGCACCGCCGCCGGTCGCGTAAAATTTCAAAGAATTATTTTCACCATTGAATTCAGCTTTATTTTTGTTTGTTGTTGTTGGTAAATCGTCGAAATTGGATAGTAGTCATGCTAATCAATATGGATCAATCGAATTGTTAATCAATCGATCAATAATATTGATAATTATAATAATAGTAAGTTTTACAGGCATCATCATTACCTCTTTCGATTATAATTGTTGGTGTTGGTTACGATAGTTTTGAAGAGATGAAAGTGCTCGACTCTGATCATCAAGTGCTCTCGGCGAACGGCCGATACGCAAAACGTGACATTGTACAGGTAGGCGGTAATTAGCCCACTAATTAGCCCACATTTTCTAGGTGTGCTTTTTTTCGTGGCTGAAACTGTATATGGCAACTGCTAATCAATATGGATCAGTTCGAAGTGAACTCTGATATTGATCCGATTGCAGTTCGTGCAACTACGTGATTTCCTGCCACCGCATCGATATTTGACAGCTGAAGAAGTGGCTGATGCGAAATGTCAACTGGCAAAGGAGGTTTTACAGGAGGTCTGTTAGTGAATGTTTTGCTGTGTGTGTGTGCTCGATTGGATGATATTTGGATACGTTTTGATGTGATTGATTGATTGATTGATTGATTGATCTTTTGAAGGTTCCAAGTCAGCTGACCGGATATATGAAATCGAAAGGTATTTTCCCGTGTAATATCCCATCACCACCGTTAACACCACAACATCAACAGCAACAACCCACTTCACAGCAGTCAACCAGTAATAGTCCTCAGCATTGTGCTAGCGCTAGATCGTCGTTGTCCTCTCAGCAGATGGTGGTCTTACCTCAAGTAAGTCAGTTAACGCAGCAGCAGCAGCAGATGCAGACCACGGCAACTGGAAATGTGGATATAATGAAGAGTAAGTGATTTTTTTTTTGTTGTTTGCTTTTTCGTTTTCGATCAATGGAGCAAAATTTTATTGAGGCCTTGGTCACATGCATGAACGCACACGTAGGTTTATAACGGCTGTTGCTTCTGCAGTCGCACTAGTGAGATCAAGTCAGATCAGATCAGGTGGAGCCAGCCCGCGAAGATCAACAAACAAGCAAAAAATCAGTCTGATCAATATTTTTTTGATGAAGATCAATTTCAGATCAATACCACCCAGCATCATCATCATCACCACCACAACAACCGCAACATCAACACGAACACCAACGCACACCATCAGAGCGTATCAGACGCCTACTGCCAGCCGTTCCATATCAAGATCTACAACAAATGCATATATGATACTAGTCGTTTTATAAATTCAGCTCCAGATACATATGAAGCATTACGCTTGTTCACTATACATAACTATATAGAACCACTATAAATATTTTTTTAAAATGTAAATGAATTACTTAATTAATTAATTAATTAATTCAATATATTATATTGTGTGTGTTCATGCTAAAATATTTGTTCATGCGCTCCATATGTATGAAACACGATGATTGATTGATTGATTGATTGATTGATCTTTTGAAGGTTGTATGTAAATGTTTCTAATATACTATAACACACATATAGGTAGGTGTGTGTTATCCATTGGGACGAGGGGGGGGGGAGGGGGTATAAATTTACTGTTTGACTGGCTGGTGAATTTGGTATAGCGTTTAGAATTTTTTTAAAAAAAAGCATTTTGAAAAATATTATATTTTAACATACTCATATGTACTCTTTGCTAGTACTACTAGAAAATTTATTGATTGCCTTTGTTATTTGATACATAATATAAAAAATATAATTTTGCTTTGGTTATTTGAGGTGGTCATTTTTTTGTCACTTCTTTCGCATTGTTATTTATTGAAATGATCAGTTTTTTAGCAATTATTAGAGCATTTTTGTTTACTATTAATTAATTAATTAATTAATTAATGTGATTTGCGTGTGTGTGCGTTTGTGTGTATTTATTGAAATTTGCTTCAAAGAATGTTATTCAGACATGAGTATAATATTTATTGCAATTTTTTTCGTTCGTTGGTTTATGATTTATGATTTATCTTTAATTGATCACTATGACGATAGTCACTGTATTTGAGTGACTATCGTCATAGTGATCAATTAAAGTGATCAGTGATAGTGATCAATTAAAGTGATCAGTGATAGTGATCAATTAAAGCACAACCGAACATTGATGAATCAAACAATTGTTATGAACTGAATAAAAATATTGTTCATTGAAATAACTCAGCAATACTGCAGCGTACGGCTTGGCTTGGCTTAGCTTGACCATTCTACTTTACTACTACGTTGGATTGCTTGTTGCCTGAGCTTGGCTAACTCAGCAAGCATACGGGAATGGACGATGGATGCCTCATGCATTAGTAATGGATGAAGAATACCTCTTCTATCTGTAAATTTGATTTATTCATTCATGTGGCCATCGCCGCCGCCATCGCTCTCTGTTATAATTTCTACTAGGGCATTGCTCTATTATTTTGCTCTCGAGTCCTAAAGCATTTGATGCAGTCAGTTTATTAATTTATTTGATTTATCTGCTGCTGCTACTGCTGCTTGTTCGTCTTGAATTGATTCAAGTAGTTGAGAGGAAGGAGTAATTTATAAATTTCTCGGCGAGGTTTGATTTGTAACGCAATGGAATTTGATTTGTACATGTGTGATGTTTAAATTTTCATGTTTAAGATAAGATTGTTGTGAATGTGACTGATTGATCAAATTGGATTAAGTTCGAGGCAGCAGCAGTAAATCACCACTGATCGATTAATTGATCTATTGATTGATTTACTGATTGATCTTTGCGTTTGCGTATGCTTTGATTAAGCTGATTATTTTAATGTGTTTTTGGCTGGCTTGCGCCGCCTGCATTCTCATAATTTTAAATTCTTTTAAAACATCAATTTTTAGACTTTTACTTAAAACAGGCTGGTCTAGACGGCTGAGACGTGCCCATCCCATCCCATCCCATCCAATCCAATCCAGCCTTGCAATCGTCAGACGCTAGTATCTTCTTGATTTATTCAATCCTCCACTTATAACTGACGAGTAAGTGAAAGCCCTATTGTTGTGTTGTTCTTTTATTAGTATGCTTGCCTATTATTTAAATCATTATTATATATTACTATTCTTATCTTATAAGTACCTAATTATGTTATATTTATCATTCAGAGTATTTTATATCTATTGTTATTTTTATTATTATTGTTATTATTACTATTATTATTATTATCGAACCAAGTACGTGAATCACCAACCATATAAGAAGTATTCTTGAGCTATGTCCACACACACACACGCACACAATATTCTATTCAGTGTATTTTATAAAAATATGAAACTATTACTTATTATATAAAGTAAGTAAGTTTATAGTGAAGTTACGAGTAAAGTGTATGTGAAGAATTTCGAAAGAAGATGGATGAACCAACGGACGGATGGACGGACGATGGCGGCGGTTGGTGATCGAATAAAGTTTAGCTGCTGCTGCGCTTGACCGCCTCGAACAGGGAGGGCATCGAACAAGCAAGCGAGGCGAGGCGAGTTAGTTACGATGCTGGACAATTCAGAGATTTGGCTGTTCATAGAGATCTGGTTAGTCAGCTTATGAAAGGATACAGCACAATATCCAGATTAGGGCAAAACCACCACCAAGAAGTGCGCACTGGTGTATATGTGTAATATGCAAAAATATTTATCTAGATGATGCTGTATAGTAAAATGTGTGCGTAGTTTATAAAATGAATGAATTGAAATGAATAAATTTAGATAGATTACTAAATATGAAAGATTACGAGATAGTATTAGTGTTAGAATATTATATGCAACAATACAGATTGATTGATTGATTGATTGATTGATTGATTGATTGATTGATGTGAAGTTGATCTTATAGAAGCAATGTGTTTATGATCAATTTAGGCGGGCAATGCAGGCAGCTTAGAAAGGATAGTGCTGACGCGAGCGACGATTAAAGAAGATGAAACGACGAACCAAATCAGTTAGTCAGTAGTGCTAGAGTTTGAGTGGGACGGTTGGTTGGTTGGTTGGTTGGTGGATTGGTCGGTGGCTGGCTTCAGTGCTTGGGCTTAGTTGGTGGCCAATCAAGCAGTAGTATCAGCAGCTGAATTTTGCTGCTGCTGCTGCTGTAGCAACTGAAAACGTACGTTTTGGGTGTGCGGTTTTGGGCTCTGTTATCATCGTCGTCATCGTGATCTTCAGGAGCGAGCATCATCTTTATTCATTGCTTTAAGTAAGTAAATTAAGTGAAACGTAAATAATTTATCATGTGCCTGTCTGCAGGCAGCGATTCAGCCTGTGATCAACCGTGTGTGTTTGAGCGTTTGACGTATTTTCAGCGATAATTATCTGTCTATTCAGTATTGTTTATTATTTTGCTGAACTTACTTTTCATAGCTATCGATCGATCTGTCCATGATCGATATTCGGCTGAAAGCCATTTTTATAATCTGATCAGATCAAGTTCAAGTTAAGCGAGAGCTATTGCCCCCTCCACCCTGCATCCATCCTGCAGTCGTCGTCTATTTTTCCCCATTCTACTATTGTATTCATGCATCGATGGATGTGGATGATAAACGAGAAAAGAGGCTGGCCGGCCGGCCGATTGAATCTGCCTGATTAAGGGGAGGCGAATTGAGAGCGCTTAAGCCTAATGTAAGTAAGTAAGTAAGTAAGTAATGTGTGTGCTTACTTACTTATAGTATGTGTATATAGTTTGAGTTGACATCCATCGTTCCATCGAACAATCCAATCCCAATGTGGTGTCTCGCGGGGATTTGCATTGGACTTATTCTTTGAAATTGCGCTCGCTCTAACGCATCATGCATTCATCCGTCTATCTAATCAGGCAGGCATATTTGCTAGTTGGTGCTCGTCTTGCTTCTTAGAAACGAACATGATCCACCAGCGCAAGCAATCTTATGCTTACTCCTATTCAAACAATTTATCAAAAACTCCCCATTTTCAACTAATCCCACTATCGTCTATGTATCATCTAGTCAGCTATTCATTCATCCATGCATCCATCCATCCATCCATCCATCCATCCAAAGGCTCCCTTCTATCATATCAGTAGTTGTGGTTGTTGCCATCTTGATCAGTCACTCATTTTGGGCTGCGCTGCTTCTTCCTCATGTCAATAATTTGGTCTAATCGATTGATCAATTCCTATCGATCGTCGTCTATCATCTCTAATATCTAATTGGCGCTGGCTGCTAGATTATACTATGCGTGCTTGTCTACAAACCCCTACTGCTTATGCCTAATTTGTTCTATGTTTTACAAGGACCGCAATTAATGAGTTAGTTTATGAATGCCATTACTAAAGTGTAACGACGAGGAAATCAGAGTAACTGCAATAGTGCCACCCGGTTGTCAATAATACTGCCAACCGGCTGTCAATAATACTGCCACCGGTTGTCAATAGTACGGCCAGCCGGCTGTCAACAATACTGCCACTCGGCTACCAATAATACTACCAGTCGGCTGTCAATAATACTACCAGTCGGCTGTCAATAATACTGCCACCCGACTGTCAATAACAAGGTAACGGCTAATTATTGAGAGGTGTCCTTGAACATGCATGCACAAC